CCATGGACAACTGCCTGCTTCCCAGAGAGAGAGAGAGAGCTATGTGGTTCACAGCACCCTGCAATCTTCCCCTGGATCCAGTGTGGCTGTTGATTTGAATAATTAGAGCACTGGCCACCCGCAGAAGGGAGAAGTCCTATTCATGTCTGGACTGTGGGCAGCTCTTTGCGTTCCCCGCACTGTTAGACACAGGTAGGTCCACTCTGGTTACCGTCCCCATGTTTATGGTCATGTGGCATCCACTTTTCCCAGAGGCCTCACCTGGGCTAGCACCAGCTGTTCCACGCAGGACACACCTGTGCCCTATGACCGCCACTTCCACTCAAACAGGTCCTCTATATCCACAAGTGCAGACGTACGTGCACAGACTGTGGGTGCCACTTTACATATGCCCATCCCCCCACCCCCCAGCCAACATGGGCTCGTGCATTGGGTAAGCACCGCCACTACTGCCTACAAAGTGCTTGCCAGGAAAACATGCTCTGGCACCAGCTCACCCACACGGGAAGGAAGCCCTGCTGGTGTTGTGACTGGGGGCGGTGCTTCCGCCAGAGGCTTCCTTGGCCATTTACAGCCCTTACACAGGCAAGAAACGTTCTCCCTGCAGTTGGCATCTGCTTCTACTCCTCCCTCCTGCTCAGCCAAGAGCGCATCCACTCTGCTGAGAGGCCTTTTCCCTGCACTGAGAGTGGGGAAATATTCAAGAGAAAGTATGCCCTGAAAGCCAACCAGTGGATCCATCAGACAAACAGGGAGAGGCAAAGGTGTGGGAGAGCTGGGTAGTCCCTGTGCCAGGCTCCATCCCTGGAGATGAGGCCCCCCCAGTTCAAATCCACTATTTCTCAGACAGATTCCAGGAGTATGGGGGACCTGGGTCACATGCTGTGAAGGCTTATGATGGAAGATATCTCTTTTCCTCCGAGTGTTGGCCATGCAGGGTGAGCAGAGGCAGGAGACAGAGGAAAAAAAGGGGGAGATGTACTAAGTGATAAGGTGTGTGCGGGCCTTGAAGTCCCCCTTCAGAGAGCAGGATATAGAAGTAATCAGGAAGGTGCCTGTGAATTACTTTACTTAGAAAGGGACAGGTTGGGGACTTCCCTGGTGGCGCACTGGTTAAGAATCCGCCTGCCAATGCAGGGGACACGGGTTCTAGCCCTGGTCCGGGAAGATCCCACATGCTGCGGAGCAACTAAGCCTGTGTGCCACAACTACTGAGCCTGCGCTCTAGAGCCCACGAGCCACAAGTACTGAGCCTGCGTGCTGCAACTACTGAAGCCTGCAAGCCTAGAGCCCGTGCTCCGCAACAAGAGAAGCCACCACAGTGAGAAGCCTGCGCGCAACGAAGAGTAGCCCCCGCTCGCTGCAACTAGAGAAAGCCCGCGCAGCAACGAAGACCCAACGCAGCCAAAAATAAAATAAATAAATTTATTTTTTTTTTTAAAAAAAGGGAGGGCTTCCCTGGTGGCGCAGTGGTTGAGAGTCCGCCAGCCGATGCAGGGGACGCGGGTTCGTGTCCCGGTCCGGGAGGATCCCGCATGCCGCGGAGCGGCTGGGCCCGTGGGCCGTGGCCGCTGGGCCTGCGCGTCCGGATCCTGTGCTCCACAACCGGAGAGGCCGCAGCAGTGAGAGGCCCGCGTACCGCAAAAAAAAAAAAAAAAAAGAAAAGAAAGGGACAGGTTGGAACTAGCCTACATGAATCTGTTAAGGTAAATCCTTCAGGACTCATTACCCTCTCCCAGGATTAAGTACACTGCTTGCTCAAGTCTGGGTTTATGGTGCAATGACATCTTAGGCAAAGGTGAGGTTTGTCAGTCTATAAGGTGAAGTCCACGTGTACTAACTAAAATCGGAAGTTGTACTTTCAGGCATTGCCCCTCACTGAGCACGAAACAAGGAGAAATTAATCTCGAAGACTTTCAAAACCCAATTTAGAGCTGCCAGTGCAACACAGGGGACATTCCAGGTTCAAATCTCATCCCTGCCTTTACTAACAGGTTCTGGGCAAGCTGCTCAACCTTCTGAAACGTCCTCATAATGACTCTGGAAGGATAATCATCCTCATAGGGACTCTGAAGATGAGCTTCAACTGAGATCATTTATATCAATTTCAACCATGCCATTTTTTAAAATAAATTTATTTATATTTTTATTTTTGGCTGCATTGGGTCTTCGTTGCTGTGTGCGGGCTTTCTCTAGTTGTGGTGAGCGGGGGCTACTCTTCGTTGCGGTGTGTGGGCTTCTCATTGCGGTGGCTTCTGTTGTTGCGGAGCACGGGCTCTAGGTGCACAGGCTTCAGTAGTTGTGGCATGCGGGCCCAGTAGTTGTGGCTTGCGGGCTCTAGAGCGCAGGCTCAGTAGTTGTGGTGCACGGGCTTAGTTGCTCTGCAGCATGTGGGATCTTCCCAGACCAGGGCTCGAACCCGTGTCCCCTGCATTGGCAGCTGGATTCTTAACCACTGCACCACCAGGGAAGTCCCTCAACCATGCCATTTTAAGTCTTCTGTCACTTATAGACATTGTTTTACTCTGATGCTTTTATAAAATGAAGATCTTCAAGGAAATTCATAAAAAGGACTTTTTGACAAATAAGACTTTTGATGACTTTTAGATCTTACCACTAAACTGGATAAAAAAATCACAGAACTCTAACAGGAAACCTGATGGCTTCTTCCAGATTAACAGGAATTACATGGGACTGAATGAACTGATAAATATGATTTATAATTTTATGACTTTTTGTCTAAAATATTACTGGCTGGCTTTTAATCTCTGTTTTCCAGAAAACCTTTCCTCTTATGCTATGACCTACAAAAAGTTGATAAAGTATACCTCTGTATTGTAAATGAAGATGAAACATTGCTCTTTTTCTCTCTGCCTGATCCCTCCAGAATTTGGCTTCTCTAGCTAGCTCCCCTCTGGACTTGATGGCTTCTTGCGACCAGGTTACAACTAGTTATACTAATCATTGAAATTTGTTCTCTTTATGTTGTTCTCAAATTGCTTATGCCTTGTGTCTCTCTCTGCTGTACTATGACCTTATTAATGTTACTAGCTATATTACTTATATCCTGTCTATTTTATAAGATTGTTACCTCTTGCATTACCTAATGTATCATCAGGCCTCCAACAAAATTAATGATGGCTAAATGTCTTGAGGCAATTGATCATATACATAACTCTATGTAAAATAATTTTAACAGGGCTTCCCTGGTGGCGCAGTGGTTGAGAGTCCGCCTGCCGATGCAGGGGACACGGGCTCGTGCCCCGGTCTGGGACGATCCCACATGCCGCGGAGCGGCTGGTTCCGTGAGCCATGGCCGCTGAGCCTGCGCGTCCGGAGCCTGTGCTCCACAACGGGAGAAGCCACAACAGTGAGAGGCCCAAGTACCGCAAAAAAAAAATAATAATAATAATTTTAACAGTGAGACTCTAGATATGGAGAAGCAACAAGGGAAAACATTTCCTGGATTATAGGAATAGACTAGTAAAACACACGATCCAGAGAATTTTAGGTTATTAATAGGGCCCAATCCAAAAATAATACATTGGGGGACTTCCCTGGTGGCACAGTGGTTAAGACTCCGTGTTCCCAATGCAGGGAGCCTGGGTTCAACCCCTGGTCAGGGAACTAAGGTCCCACATGCATGCCGCAACTAAGAGTTCGCATGCCACAACTAAGGAGCCGGTGAGCCGCAACTAAGGAGCACATCTGCCCCAACAGGCACAACCAAATAAAATTTTTAAAAATTAAAAAAAAAATAAACAGAAACAGCACATTGGGTGGCTGATCAATGAAATCTTCCTCTGACCTAGGAATGAGAATTCCATGACAAATTGACCAGGAAAAGCCTCCCAAACCTTGGTCGAATTTATGACCAAGGGGGGCCCTGTGCGGGAGCTCCCTGGTGGCCTAGTGGTTAGGATTCCGGGCTTTCACTGCCATGGCTTGGGTTCGATCCTTGGTCAGGGAACTGAGATCACACAAGCCGCTGGGCGTGGACAAAAAAAAAAAAAAAAAGACGGGGCCCTGTGGAAAGGGAACCTTGCCTGCCATTTGGTAAACAACAAATGCTGCCGGCCATCAAGTTATCAGACACTGCAGCCACCAGGCCCTCCTACTCCCTACCAAGGTGTGCCTTGAGGGAAATTCAAGATGGAAAAATACAGGAAACATTCTGTGCTCTGGATACTGGCTCGATAGTTAAGTTGCATATCTAAAGAACAATTTCAACAAGCCCAGACTCTTGCATCTTCCCATATATAGAAAAGCCCTAAAATCATTAACTTGAAATGTCTGTTTTTTTGTGATTAGCAATAATGTTTTGATGTTCAAATATATATATTTTTTTTCCAGCAAAAACTGCTATATATCCTGGCTCCTCCCTTACCTCTTTGGAGCAGTTCCTCAGAGCTGAGAGGATAGTCCTCAGTAAGGTCCTGGAATAAAACTCAACTCGGAACTTTTAGGTTTACGTTTTCTTCAGTTGGACAAAATCTTTGTTCTTCTCCTTACTAGCAAGTACCCTCTGAGATTTTCCTCATCAGTAGAACCAGGATGATAATCATCATTTCACACATGGTAGCAAAAAATAAATACGTTGAACGTGTAATATGTTGGGCATGGTACCTGCGCACAGGAAACGCTAACGTTAATTCCCTTCCCCAAAGGGCAAGGAGGGAGTTACCCACTATCGCAAGAGAAGGCTCCTCTGAGAAAGCCAGGAAAGGAGACCCAGGGATATTCCAGCCCCGGGTTGGCCAGAGTGGCTCCGTCGCTCAAATCCTTCCCTCCCTAGGCTAGGCTGCGCCTCCAAGAAACGGAGGACCATTACTGATCCCAGGCGGGGTCGCCCCTTCCCGCCTCCAGACTCCCGGGCAGTCACCCGACATCGAGGGTCCAGCTTTCTGCCCTTACGCTTCCGTTGGCTTCGTTCAAACAGGCCGCTTTTGGCAATACCCAATCAGAATACTCGATCTTAGGCCACCGCCCAATGACCGCGTGGAATAGGGGGGAAAAGGGCGTGAAGCCCAATCGCAGCGCCATCACACTTGAGGGCAAAGAGGTTAGGGAGCCGGCATGGCGCTCCGGTCAATAAAATCGATAGCTGGAAGCTGCCTGTGTTTCAGGCAAAGGCGGTGCAGCGGCGGGGCCGCCATTTTCCCCGAAGGCATCTTCCGGTGCCTTTCACCCAAGTTCGGGCAGGAGTTTCCTGAATAACAGCGAAAGGTTTCCGTTAGCCCCGCCGGCGGCCGATTCCTGTTCCCTCCTGGTGTCCCCAGGCACGCTCCGCCCGGATCCGGCTTGGGCTCCCAAATCCCGGGGCCCGCCAGCGCCCAGCGGCCAAGGCCGGGACAGCCGTGGCGCCGGCTTGTCGGGTCCAATGGCGCGGCCTTCGGCTCCGCTCCCCGCGCGGGGACCAGGAGAGGCCGGACCCGGCCGGAGAAGGGGAAGGAGGCCGAGGGCGGTGAAGTTCGGGGACGTGGCCGTGTACTTCTCCCCGGAGGAGTGGGAGTGTCTGCGGCCCGCGCAGAGGGCCCTGTACCGGGACGTGATGCAGGAGACCTACGGCCACCTGGGCGCGCTCGGTGAGGCCCGCCCCAATCCGCTTCCGCGGGACCCGAAGGGATGGAGGAACTGGGGGTGGGAGTCCAGAGTGTCCATGGTCCTGGCCTGCGAAGAGGTTGTGTCGGGCGGGAGGACAGGGGCTTGGCAGGAGATGCCACCGGGTAGATAAGTCTACCCAGCGTTATGTACGAGCTGGGCCTCTGACTGATTCTTCTTCCCCAGGGTGCGCAGGTCCCAAACCAGCCCTCATCTCCTGGTTGGAACGAAATACCGATGATTGGGAACCGGCTGCTCTGGATCCACAGGAGTGCCCAAGGAGGGTAACAGTCCAAAGAAGTAAGTGAAAAATGCCTCGGAGGGCTTGCAGCTTCTAATGACTCAGTCCAGAGTTTCCGTGGCTAGGGGTACCTATGACCCACGCTCCATTTACCGTGTTCGTTTCTACAACTTCAGGGTTCCTGTCTCTTTCATGGTGTCGAGTCCTTCTACCAAAGATTCACTTGTCAGTTTGTAAACTGACCACCTGCAGTTGTCTGTTGTGTAAATGGATCAGTGAGCTTTTCAAAAGAGCTACAACCCTCCTTCCTCCTTCCCAGGACTCTGTCTCCAGCATGCTTTGAATTGGGCTCTGACTGAGAGAGCCTATACCTCTGACTTTTCCAGGTTTTGGTTGAAGGGATCTTATGGGGAACAGTGGCCTGGGGTGCAGGGGCCTCTTTTTGCCCTTCTGGCAGAATGACCCCGATCAGTGCAGGAACCTGCAAGTCTCCTCAGGATCAAGCAAGGCTCTGATTAAGGCCATTCAGGTAGAAGGGCCCCCCAGATCCACCTACAGGGGCAGATGCAACTGTCTGGGCTGGAGTTTCTGTGCCACATTCTCTAAGAGCAGGGCTATCTTTCTAAGATTCAGATCGGACATGATATTTCCTTGCTTAAAACCTTTCAGCTTGGCTTCCCTGGTGGCACAGTGGTTGAGAGTCCGCCTGCCAATGCAGGGGACACGGGTTCGTGCCCCGGTCTGGGAAGATCCCACATGCCGCGGAGCGGCTAGGCCCGTGAGCCATGGCCGCTGAGCCTGCGCGTCCGGAGCCTGTGCTCTGCAACGGGAGAGGCCAGAACAGTGAGAGGCCCGCGTACCAGAAAAAAAAAAAAAAAAACCTTTCAGTTTTTGCCAAGGCAGGTTGTCAAATGGCTGTCAGTTATATCTAAGACACTTGGGGAACTTGGTGAAAATACAGATTCCTGGACCCCATCCCAGAACGACTCATTTACTCTTATGGATATCTATGAACATATACATATTTTAATAGCCTCAGTTGATTTGGCTGTACGTTTAGGTTTGGTTCTCACAGTGTGGTCCTCAGACCAGCAGCAGCAGCAGCAGCATCAGTCGGGAATGTATTAGAAAATGCAAATTCCTGGACCCCATCCTAGACATGTTGAATCTAAAACTGGGGGTAGGGCCCAGCAATCTGTTTCATTAAACCCTCCAAATGATTCGGATCACAATAAAATTTGAGAAGCATTGGCTTAAAGGGCCTTATGACCTAGTCAATGCCAAATCATACCTCATTTGTTTCCACTTCCTGCCTTATACTTACCTCTTCAAAAACTGAAAAAAAATTTTATTTTTTTATTTTATTCATTTGTTTATTTTTGGCCACGTTATGCGGCATGCGGGATCTTAGTTCCTGGACCAGGGATCGAACCCATACCCCCCGCAGTGGAAGCGCTGACCTCCAGGGAAGTCCCCAAAACTTTTTTTTAAAATTAATTTATTTATTTATTTTTGGCTGAGTTGGGTCTTTTGCTGCACGCAGGCTTTCTCTGGTTGTGGCGAGCGGGGCTACTCTTCCTTGCAGTGCATGGGCTTCTCATTGCAGTGGCTTCTCTTGTTGCAGAGCTGGGGCTCTAGACGTGCGGGCTTCAGTAGTTGAGGCTCATGGGCTCTAGAACGCAGGCTCAGTAGTTGTGGCGCATGGGCTTAGTTGCTCCACAGCATGTGGGATCTTCCCGGTGCAGGACTCGAATCCGTGTCCCCTGCATTGGCAGGAGGATTCTTAACCACTCCGCCACCAGGGAAGCCCCCAAAACCTTTTTAAAGTCAGCTTAATCTCCTCCAAGAAACCTTCCCTGATTTCTCCAAGCTGGATTAGGGGCTCCTGTAATACCCTCCATATTTCCATAGCCGTATGTCACACTTGGTTGGTTGTCTTTGTCACTAACATTCCTTGAAGACGGGCCGAGTCTGTTTTATAACCTGTAACACTATAATAGGAAAGAGTAGGAGCCAGTGTTTGTTAAATTAATTTCTCCTTTGTGTTCCTGTAGAAACCAGAACCAGAAAGAAGAATGAAGAGAAGGAAGTATTCCCGCCTAAGGAGGCACCCCGAAAGGGGAAGCGAGGCCGCCGGCCCAGCAAACCCCGCCTGATCCCCAGGCAGACATCCGGAGGTCCCATCTGCCCTGACTGTGGTTGTACCTTTCCCGATCACCCGGCCCTGCAGAGCCACAAGTGTGCCCAGAATCTGAAAAAGCCTTACCCTTGCCCAGACTGTGGGCGCCGCTTTTCCTACCCATCCCTGCTGGTCAGTCACCGGCGGGCACACTCTGGGGAGTGTCCCTACGTTTGTGACCAGTGTGGCAAGCGGTTCTCCCAGCGCAAGAACCTCTCCCAGCACCAGGTTATCCACACAGGCGAGAAGCCCTACCACTGTCCTGACTGTGGCCGCTGCTTCCGGAGGAGCAGGTCCTTGGCCAATCACCGGACCACACACACGGGTGAAAAACCCCACCAGTGCCCCAGCTGCGGGCGTCGCTTCGCCTACCCCTCCCTGCTCGCCATCCACCAGCGCACACACACCGGAGAGAAGCCCTACACCTGCCTGGAATGCAGCCGGCGCTTCCGCCAGCGCACCGCCCTGGTCATCCACCAGCGCATCCACACGGGCGAGAAGCCCTACCCGTGCCCAGACTGCGAGCGGCGCTTCTCCTCCTCCTCTCGTCTGGTCAGTCACCGGCGGGTGCACTCCGGAGAGCGTCCCTATGCCTGCGAGCACTGCGAGGCCCGCTTCTCCCAGCGCAGCACGCTGCTCCAGCACCAGCTCTTGCACACGGGAGAGAAGCCCTATCCCTGCCCGGACTGCGGACGTGCCTTCCGGCGGAGCGGTTCCCTCGCCATACACCGCAGCACGCACACCGAGGAGAAACTGCACGCGTGTGACGACTGTGGCCGCCGCTTCGCCTACCCCTCACTGCTGGCCAGTCACCGGCGCGTCCACTCGGGCGAGCGGCCCTATGCCTGTGACCTGTGCTCCAAGCGGTTCGCCCAGTGGAGCCACCTGGCTCAGCACCAGCTCCTGCACACTGGGGAGAAGCCCTTCCCCTGCCTCGAGTGTGGCCGTTGCTTCCGCCAGAGGTGGTCTCTGGCCGTCCACAAGTGTAGCCCTGGGGTCCAGAACTGTAGCCCTAGATCTGCTATAGGAGTGCCTAGCCAGAAAGGCAATGCCCTTTAGAATGGGAAGGACTGTGTAAGTTCATTTCTTTTCGCAGAGGGGCCCAGAAAAGGGAAGGAGCCCCCGGTTATACAGGGCAGAGTCAGAACTAAAACCCAGGTCTCTTGCTACACAGAGCTGAACTTTATTCTACCACGCTGGCTGCCTTAATACATGGGTCTAGAACAGACAGTCCCAGTAGGACAAGTGACATTATTTGGTTAAAGTTTTCCAACCTACCCTATCCTAAAAGAGTTTCTGTGTGTGGATATTGGGCTAAAAGTTCTCCCCATCTAATTTACGGGCTTTGTGTTTTCTAGTTTGTGCACGCAGGGATTACCTGTCCCCTTGCATGCAGTCAGGAGGATCCCATTTATGGGGAGCAAGATCTCCTCCTCCTCTGCCTCTTCCTCCATGCCAGGTTTAAACAAATCTGGTTTAGCCCCCTTTTGACGATATTCCTGCCAAGTGGTCTTCTACCCTTTAAAACCTCCCTTGACAGGGAGCTCACTACCTCACAAGGCAGGTCATTTCACTGTGGGACAGCTCTGACAATTAGAAGGCCCTTAAGAACAACATTCTCCTTCCCTGGAAGCCTTGCCCAGAATATGTTTAAAACTTGATCTACATGGCAGCCCTTCAGAAAACTTAACCACAAATACTCTGCCCCCATGTTTTCAGGTTAATTAGCATTAATTTGGTCAGTCATTCCTTAAAGATAGGTATTCAAGTCCCACACATGATCTCTCCCCAAACAGGTGCTGGTTTTTCAATGTCCTTTTTAAAGGATCATACAAAGTAAGCCAGCATCACAGTATACACTGTACTTCCTTGGTCTGTACTTGTTTTAACAGCTCTAGATTGCATTGGATTTGGGGGTGGTAGCAGTGTACCAGGAATTTATTGGGTTTCAGACACCTAAATACTTAAGCTTTTTCTTTTGTTCTAAAACCACATGCTGTGAAGTAAGTCGTCTGCATCCTGTGTTTGGAAAGTTGGTTCAAGATGGGTCTGGGACATAAGCACAGTGAGCTTTGGGAGATTAAGGAAAAACAGGGGAGCTGTGGTCTAGGCAGCAAGAAGTAGAACCAGGACCAGCTTGTACTTTATCTGGTGGATTTGGATTAGTTCCAGGCAGCCAGTAGCTGGAAAATTCTTGAGAACTGGGTCTCACTCCTCCCCGAGTCTCATCAGAATCAGGACACTAGCACAGAACCTTCCATGAGTCCTCTGTGAACATTTTTCATGAAATGAAGTGAGGCCATTCAAGGAGGTTAAAGAGTTAGGTAACTGAATACAAAGCGGGAAGAGTCTGTAGTCATCAAGTTGTGTTCATGCCCTGCCTCCCTAATAAAAGCTCCAGACAGCAGCAGCAGCAGCAATGTGTTTTAATTTTGACATGCCTCCATGGCACCCATTCCTAAGTAGGTGTGCAGTAAAGCTTTACTGAATTAAGTAAACAAGGCCTACCACTTTTCCTTGGGTAGCTGTACCAAACTGAATTTATAAACATGACATATCGCATATTCCAATAGCTGGTGTGGGTCATCCTCCTACCCCTGTTGCTTCTTCCCTCAGTCCGCCTGATATCAGCCCCAGGGGGGTGTAGCTGGGGCACAGGGTATTTGTAATTACCTGTTCTGGTATTTAGCAAGTTGCATTGTAACTGTTTGTTTCTCCTTGGATTGATGGGCTACCCCAAAAGCAGGGGTCATGCCAGATTGGGTTTCATTAAAATGTCTGATGAATGATTATGTTCTGTGTGGAATTACTGTTTATAAAATGTAAATCTAGTTCCTTGACTAAGTAGACATTTTTACAGTTCTGATGGAAACCTGCCCTTTCCTAGCAGAAACCTATTAGAATTCTGCCTAGCCTCCTGTTTCAGAACTGCCTCTTCCCTACCTCTATCACCAGGCTGACCCAACTACTTCCTTACCTAGGAATTTTAGAAATTTCTTTGGGCCTGGATTGTAACTCATAAACTTGGGAGCCATTGGTAGGCAAGTCCCAGTATGTGGTCTGTGGAGGGCCGAGATGACAGACAAGTTCTTAGGTTTCCTAATGCACTTCAGTCCCAGGATCCCTTTGACAATTAACTGTAGTCAGTGGGAGATCCCAGTATTCTTCCAAGTAATTCTCCCTTCTGCTTCATGTAGTTTAAGTTGAGTTTCTGTTACTTGCAACCAAAAGAATTAACTAATCCACAGCCCCAATATGGGTATATCTCCCATCTGTCCTCATGCCTATATGTGAGCTATGAAGAAAAAAAAGTTCACAGTGCTGCTGAGAGGGGCCAGCCTTTCCACTCCATCCTCAGCTCAACCTTCAACATTGTTTATGTCTTTTATAGCCCCAAACCAGTGACTGCCTTCCCCTTCACCAAGAAAACACAGGATGTCAAACAGAAACTCCCTTAACATTCCACTCCCTGCTGTGACTCCATATTTACCAGTGTGACCACTCCTCATGGGAAATCCCTCATACGCAGAGCTTGTCTGTATAGGTGTGCCTGGATTTCATCTCCTTTTGCCCTCTCAGGGACTTTGCTCCGTCTATTATTCTCTCTTAGTTTTATGGTTTCAGAGTCCCTCTCTTGCCTGGAATATATACATGCCAACCTATAAACATGGTAAAATCTGTCTTTGAAAACAAAGAAATTTCCCTTTGGCTTCTGTCCCCATCTCCTATTTTCAGCTAAGTTTTTTAAAACAACAGTAGCCTACATTCACTACATCCACTCTGTTTATTCTTTGGCCTACTGCAATAGTATTCTAGCTATTTTGTTGAGCCTTTATGATGTGCCGTGTACCGTGGCATTAAGCATTTTATATACATGCCAATCTATAGTTGGTACAAGAACCCCATCAAGTCAGTGTTAGGAGATGCTCCTCCATGGGTCTCTCATGTTGCTACACATCTTGCTGAGTATGCCAAAAAACACAAGGCTCTACCCTCAGCAAATTCTCAGACTTGAGCCAATTCCAGACCTAGAGCCCCTTGAATAAGGGAAGGCTGGGTCCCCTTGATGAAGGACCATGTTACATTGGCAAAACACTGTAAAACCTCTTCCTACCCTTTTCCAAATGTACCTACAGCCATCTACCAGGGTGGCTGGGCATGGGAGAAGGGAAGTAACTAGAGTTTTCAGGGATTCTAATTCTTCGAGATCCAAATGAGAGAAATGTATTAAATAAGACAAAATGTTCTTACAGAAATAAACCCTTGTATTTATGATCAACTGATTTGCAGCAAAGGTGCCAGACACTGCAAGGAAAGAAAGCCTTTTCAACAGGTGGTGCTGGGACGTGAAAAAGAATGAAGCTGGGGGACTTCCCTGGTGGTCCAGTCTGAACCTGCCTTAAGAATCTGCCTTCCAATGCAGGGGGCGTGGGTTCGATCCCTGCTTGGGGAACTAAGATCTCACATGCCGCGCGGCCAAAAAAACAAATAAAAAAAGTAAAATAACTCAGGAAGGACATAAGAAACTGGTAACAGAAATTGCCTCTAGGGAAGGGAAAGGGACTAGAGGAGAGACTTTTTGTAAAAAATTGAAGCATAATACACAAATAAGTTCACATATCACAAGTGCATGGCTCAATTTTCACAAACTGAACACAGCTGAGTAACCAGCACCTAGAACAGGAATCAGAATCTCATCAGCACCCTAGAAACAAAAAAGGTAACCCTCTATCCCGATTCTTAATAGCTTGCATTAGTTTTGCCTGTTTTTATACTTTATATGAATAGAATCATGTATACTATTTTGTCTGGCATCTTTTGCTCAATATTTGTCTATAAGATTCATCCATATTATGCATGTGGTTGGAGATGATTCATTCTCATTCCTGAATGGTATTCCATGTAGTGAATATCCCACTTTGTTTATTCATTCTACTGTTGTGGATAGTTTCCAGTTTTGAGCTATTGCAACTTAAGTTGCTGTGAGCACATGTCTTTCAGAGAAAGGCCGCATGCAGCAGCGAAGACCCAACGCAGCCAAAAAATAAATTAAATAAATAAAATTTTAAAAATTCATGTGAATTTGCATTTTCTTTCTTTTTTAAAAAAATTTATTTATTTTATTTATTTTTTGGCTGCTCGTGGCCTTTCTCTAGTTGCAGCGAGCAGGGGCTACTATTCCTTGTGGTGCACGGGCTTCTCATTGCAGTGGCTTCTCTTGTTGCGGAGCACAGGCTCTAGGAGCGCAGGCTTCAGTAGTTGTGGTGCACGGGCTTAGTTGCTCCGCGGCATGTGGGAACACTGCGCCACCAGGGAAGCCCCACGTGAATTTTAAAGGTAGATTTTCAAAGTGGTTTCACTGTGGGGATGGAGAGCTTTTTGTTACATCTCTAGAAGTTTCCTTCTTTGACTTTTATGAATATTTTGTTGGAAAAGTTTGAAAACGGTCTTTAACTTTTGACATTTTAATTGTGTCTTTGATGTGGGTCTCTTTGGGTACATCTTTTTTGGGACTCAGTGCTTCCTGGACTTGGTTTTCTGGTTCCTTTGCCAGGTTAAGGAACTTTTCAGCCATTATTTCTTCAAATAGGTTTTCTCTCCCTTTCTCTCACTCCTGCTTCTGGGACCCTACAATGCAAATGTTAGTCTGCGTGATGTCCTCTCAGTGGTCCCTTAAACTATCTTCATTTTTGTTTTCTTTTCTTTTCTTTCATAATTGAGATTTTATTAGTTGTTTCGAGGATCAGTACACAGGCATTTCAATTTGTACACAATTCATTTTTTAAAATAAATTTATTTATTTTTGGCTGTGTCGGGTCTTCGTTGCTGTGCGCGGGCTTTCTCTAGTTGCGGCAAACGGGGGCTACTCTTTGTTGCAGTGCACGGGCTTCTCACTGCGGAGGCTTCTTTCATTGTGGAGCACGGGCTCCAGGCGCGCAGGCTTCAGTAGTTGTGGCACGTGGGCTCAGTAGTTGTGGCTCATGGGCTCTAGAGCACAGGCTCAGTAGTTGTGGTGCACGGGCTTAGTTGCTCCACGGCATGTGGGATCTTCCCGGACCACGGATCGAACCCGTATCCCCTGCACTGGCAGGCGGATTCTCAACCACTGCGCCACCAGGGAAGCTCTGTACACAATTCTTAACATACATACCAAAAATCTAAAAAATTATGTAGTTGTGATTCTTTTTTTTTTTTTGGCTGCACTGCGCAGCTTGTGGGATCTTAGTTCCCCAGCCAGGGATCGAACCTGTGCCCCCTACAGCGGAAAGACAGAGTCCTAACCGACTGGACAGCCAGGAAATTCCCATGATTCTTTTCTTTTCTTTTTTAAAATTTATTAATTAATTTACTTAGGCTGTGCCAGGGCTTAGTTGAGGCATGTGGACTCTTAGTTGTGGCATAAGGACTTCTTAGTTGCAGCATGTATGCAGGATCTAGTTCCCCCACCAGGAATCGAACCCAGGCCCCCTGCATTGGGAGCGCAGTCTTACCCACTGGACCACCAGGGAAGTCCCCCATGATTCTTTTCTGAACAGTTATTCCAGTGCCTTTCCAGCTTAAAATTTGGAGGCAAATTCCCTTAACAGGATATCAAGTACCCATATCTTCAAATGTTGATATTCTGTTACATCCTAAGTCCCACTAAATTCACAATTTAATATCGTATACACTACATACTCAAGTTTTCAATCATTCACAGCACATTAACAAAGTTATTAGGAAAACTGGACTACCAGGACCAACGATGTTATAGAGTGCACAAAATTCTGACCAGGAGAGCCAAGATCAAGGAGTGGTTTGCTTTAGGAAACAATTCTACCAAAAACAACAAGGGAAGAGAAGTAATTTAAAGTGTTCAAGGGACCTCTCTGGTGGTCCAGTGGTAAATAATCCGCCTTCTAACGCAGGGGATGCGGGTTCGATCCCTGGTCGGGGAACTAAGATCCCACATGCCATGGGGCAAATAAGCCCGCATGCCACAACTACTGAGCTCTTGAGCCTCAACTAGAGAGCTTGCGTGCCGCAAACTACAGGGCCCACGTGCCCTGGAGCCCATCCTCCACAACTAGAGAGCGAAAACCCACATGCCACAACTAGAGAGAAGCCCAAGTAGACCACACGCTGTAATGAGAAAGATCCTGCATGCCTCAACAAAGATCCTGTGTGCCACAACTAAGACCCAACGCAGCCAATAAAAAAAAAAAGGAAAATAAATATATAAAAAGTGTTCAAGACATTAAATGTACAACTGACTCCAATTGCCATTTAGTATGCTTTGTATTATAGGATAGAAAAGCTACCCCATCTATGGAATGTTAAGCTGACACCCAAGACAATCAGAACCTCCCATATTCAATATCCCACTACTTTCTGGTTGTACCAAAAAATAAACAACCAGCAAATGACTTCACCTCTTAAAAAAAAAGCATTTACAGCAGCAACATGGATGGACCTACAGACTATCATACTGAGTGAAGTAAATCAGACAGAGAAACACAAATATCATATGATAGCGCTTATATGTGGAATCTAAAAAAATGGTACAAATGAACTTATTTACAAAACAGAAATAGAGTCACAGATGTAGAAAACAAACTTATGGTTACCGGGGGGATGGGGGGGAGGGATAAATTGGGAGATTGGGATGGACATATACACACTATTATATATAAAATAGGTAACTAATAAGGACCTACTGTATAGCACAGGGAACTCTACTCAATACTCTGTAATGGCCTATATGGGAAAAGGATCTAAAAGAGAGTAAATAGGGACTTCCCTGGTGTGCCAGCCAGACTGCCAAGAGCCTTCTCGAAGCTGGGCTGCCTGGCTGCTGCCACTCTCCCCCACACTGGAGCTGCTGGGACCCGCGGTGGGGACACTATTCTTGTTTTTTTGGGATTCCTTTTTTTTTTTTTAATATTTATTTATTTATTTGGCTGCTCCGGGTCTTAGTTGCAGCATGCAGGATCTAGCTCCCTGACCAGGGATTAAACCTGGGCCCCCTACATTGGGAGCACAGAGTCTTAACCAGCGAAGTCCCCCTTTTTGCTGTTCTGATTGGGCAACTTCCATTTGTCTTCCAGATCACTGGTCTGTTTTGGGTTTTTTGCATTCTCTGATTTCCTGCTGCTTTCCACGAGTGTATTTTTCATTTCAGTTAATAAATTCTAAAGTTCTAAATCTTTGTTTTTCAGATCTTCTAGCCCTTTGATGATTTCCTCACAGATTACCTCTCCGGATTCATCCACTTTTCTCCTGAGTTCGATGCACAATTTTATGACTGTTACTTTGAATTCTTTATCTGATAAACTGCTTGTCTCCACTTTGTTTAGTTCTTTTTCTGAGGTTTTGTCTTGTTCTTCCCTTCTGAAGATATTCTGTAGTTTCTTCATTTTGCCTAACCCTCTGTGTTCATTTCTATGTAAATCAGCTTCATCTCCCAGTCTTGAAAGAGCGGCCTTACGTAGGAGGTGTCCTGTGGGCTCAGTGGTGCAATCTCCCCTGATCAACAGAGCCAGGTGCTCCAGGGGTATCCCCTGTGTGGGCTGCATGTGCCCTCCTGTTGCGGTTGGGCAGCAAATGTTGCAGGTGTGCTGGTGGGTGAGGTTGGTCCCCTGGGTCCTCAGGGGAAAGCAGGGGCAGGGCGCGTGGTGTTAGCTAGGCTGATGGAGAGTGATAGAAATAGTGCTCACCAGCACCAGGCCAGCTACGTGGAAAGAAAGTAAAAACAAATGATCTCTGCCAGTGCTTCCATCCCCAGAGAAAATTCCACCAGATCCCTGCCCCTCCGGTGCATGCCCTGAAATTAGTCAATGAATCTCCTTCTTGTATGACCCAGGCGCTTTTCAAGCTGCTGCCTCTGTGCTAGGACTTGGAGCAAGTGAGTTTCTGCGAGAGTCCTTTAATAATTGAGTGTCTTCCCTTTCCCACGGCCCTCGGGCTCTCCCAGATGTAAGCCCTGCTGGTTTTCGAAGCCAGATGCTATGGGGGCTTGGCTTCCCGGTGCAGGTCTCCCAGGCTGGGGAGCCTGATGTGGGACATGGACCCCTTGCTCCTCAGGGGGGACCTTTGCGGTTGTGATATCCCTCCTGCTTGTGGGTTGTCCCACGGGAGTGGGGGAGGTTCTCACTAGACCAGGACTCTGCCCTTCCTACCTTTCTCGATGTGGCCTTTTCCTTATATCCTTAGTTGTAGAAAATCTGTTGTGCTAGTCTTCAGGTCAGTTCTCAGAGATAGTTGTTCTATATGTAGTTGTAGTTTTGGTGTGTCCTGGAAGGAGGTGAACTCAGGATCTTCCCACTCCACCACCTTGATCCAGAATTGAAAAAAATCTTAAGAGATGATCTGACTCATTGCTCAGTGTTATATTCATTTATGAGCTGTAATTTGAACACAGGTTTTCTGATTGAGGCAGGGTCTAGATAGTGTTATAATTACAATAACAACTATAAGCTCCTATTTATTGAGTACTTTGTGCAAGGCGCTACCCTAAGCACTTAGTTGAACCTAAGTTCAACCGAAACGGGAGCCAGATGACTCTGAATCCGGCTCTGCTGCCCCGTGAGCTGTCACCTGCCCCGTCACTCAGTTTCATTGTCTGTAAAAGGGGAGACATCTGTGACCTTGGAGCACGGGCCAGATCAAATACTGGGTAGGAACGCATTTCCACAGCCCACGGGCTAGCCCTGCCCGAGTACCAGAGCTCACTCCCTTACCTCCAGAACCCGCCTCAGTCTTGCCCTTGGGCTTTTACTCACCTCCAAGCCCCGGACCTGCCCATAAGAGGTCTCATGAGAGTAGCAGAAATGAGTACCTTTACTCCGTTAGAACCTCTCTCTTAGATGCCGACCCAGAAAAGCCAGATCAAGAGAAATCCTGCACCGCCGGCCACCTTCGGATCTGCCGCTACTTCACTCTCGGCCTTTCAAACAGACCGCTCCGGAAAGACCAATCAGAGCCTTCCTTCTTCCCCTAGCGACCGGCGCTGTCCAATCAACGCACGCTATCTCTCTACGGTTACGCCGTGGAGTCCAACCTCCCTTCCGATTTGCCCCTTGGCATGGAAGGGCAGATAAGAAAGGCGAGGGATGTTGAGGCCGGGGAGGGCACCATCTTAGCTAAGGGCAGGACTGTGGGCCTTCAGGACGTTTTCCAAGGAAGGGCGGAAACAGGTAATTGCGTTTCCACATTTTCCGGAAGCCTCTCTGCGAAGCACAGAAGGGTTTCCCATGGCGCCGCCCCCGGTCCGGTTCCCGGTGGCGGATGTGCCCGGGGAGGCCGGGACCGGGCGGACGAGGGAAGCAGCCCAGGGGCCGTGAGGTTTGTCGGCTGTGGCCGTGTACTTCGCCCCGGAGGAGTGGGGGTGTCTGCGGCCCGCGCAGAAGGCCCTGAACCGGGACGTGACGCGGGAGACCTATGGCTTCCTGGGCGCGCTCGGTGAGGTCCGGCGGCCCAGCCAGGACCCAGTAATCTGTGGGAAGCGGGGACTGATGCGCCCAGGGGCGATGGGCTGGAAGTGTGGAGCACCGAGCAAGCGCCCTCAGTTCTCTTCTCGGGTTCTCAGCCGAGCCCAGTGTTTTCCTTTGTGAGGATTTTCAGGCCCCAAACCCGCTTTTATCATTTAGGTGGAAAGAGAGGTGGAGGCGTGAAGCCCAGAGGCCCAGGATCCAGATCTCGGCAGCTGTGAGCAGAAACGAGGGAAAGGTCCTTCACTTCAAACCCCAGGTTGTGACCTTGGAGAACCTCCTCCCCCACTCGGAGCCTCAGCACACACTGCCCACTCCAGAGCCCCTCCGTGTTTCCCTGCACCTGATCTGCAGAAAGGGCTCAACAGAACAGCTAAATTGAGACTGGTAGCACTCTTGGGGCCACGTTGCTACCATCTCTTAGGAAGGCACGTTCCAGTTCTGGTTCTGGTGCACCTTCAGCCACCCGCGACTAGTGTTCAGTTCTTGGGCTGAGGCTCCTGGTCCCTCTTCCAAGTCCCACTTGAGGTTACTTCACTGAAAACCATTCACCTAACTGGCTTTTCTTTCTGGATTATTTTCTCCCTTAGTGCATTCTGCTTTCTGGACTGTATCTCTCCCGCTCCTCAGAGACGGAGTACCCTAGATGCAAGAGCCAATTAAAGGAGCTGGTGCTCCCTGGAATAGAGGGCACGCTTCGGGCCTGTCCGCACTGGGGAAGCTCATCCAAGGATTCTGTCTTTTACCCAGAGCAGGTCAAGTAGCTAGCAAGGACACACATGTGGTGTCAAGCCTCTGTTGGCATTGTTTGGTCTTGAAGACTTTAAGAGGTGGCCGTAAAGAGGACAGTGGCTTCAGGTGAGGAACTCTCCTGCCCCACACTTGCTCTGCACATAGTGCACAAAGGTATCAAACTTAGTGAGCTTAAAGGGTTTTTTCTCCAAATTTTTATGAATAGTAATTGCAATGTGCTTTTTTTTCCCCAGATATTTGCATGTTTCCTGGATTTTGCATCTTTTGAGTAAAGATGTATTCTTGGGCCACAGCAGCTGGAAATATGATGATGGGGAATTTTTTTTTTTAAAGGAGTATATTACTTGTGATTAGAGTTGAAATCAAGGCATAGTTATCTTCCGACTTAATTTTTACTGTAATGTTTGTATGTGTCAACAGTTGAGAGGTCTTTCTGACCTATTTAGATTTGCTAGCCCTACTTTAGAACAGGAAACTCTTGAAGGGATAAAAGCAAGGAGGTGGGGGGGACTAAGCATGTCTGCATGTCAGGAGTGGTGCTAGGTGGCTCAAATATCTCTTGACCAAAAGACTGCTTCTCCAAATACCTGGGTTCCAAAGATGATTATTAATGGGAACTGAGGGTTATTTTTACTTCACCACATAGCCTCTCCTGAATTGGGAGACCTGGATTCCAGGTTCAGCTCAGTCCCCACTAGCTGTGTGGCCTTAAGCATATTATATTATTACATTATTCAGATGTAAACTGACAAGTAAAATTTATGAACTATAATGACCTCCTGCGTGTTTCCTAACTTCTCATAATTATCTGATCAAGATTCTTCAACAAACATTTACAGTTTGGTGGGCAATAAAACAATTTGAAAGCATCATTTTTGTATTTTTATAATGATTGGCAGGAAAAACATGACACCAACCACTTATGAGCAAACAGTTTTAGTCTTGAACGTTGCAATCTGATGGTTAATAGCCAAGTGTACTTAGCTCCATCTTCTTAAGTTTTCTCCATCCCTAGTGCAAAGAGAAATGATTTACAACATAGTACCTGAATAAACAGAAGTATTTTTTGGTCCAAGTGAAATGCTTTATAGCTTCTCTTTACATAAAGTTTATTCCGTGTTTTGTTTTGTTTTTTTAATAAATTTATTTATTTTTGGCTGCATTGGGTCTTTGTTGCTGTGCACGGGCTTTCTCTTGCTGCAGCAAATAGGGGCTACTCTTCATTGCAGTGCGCAGGCTTATCATTGCGGTGGCTTCTCGTTGCAGAGCACGGGCTCTAGGCACGCGGCTCAGTAGTTGTGGTGCACGGGCTTAGTTGCTCCGTGGCATGTGGGATCTTCCCGGACCAGGGCTCAAACCCGTGTGCCCTGCATTGGCAGGCGGATTCTTAACTACTGCGCCACCAGGGAAGCCCCTGATTCCCTGTTTAAAAGGATACTTATTTCTGAGGATCTGTTTTTTTCCTCACTCCCATTTCTACACTGTTCACACAGTGAAGTACCTCCAGAACTCAAAATGTTTTAAAATAAGCACATAATTGTTGAGGCAAAATCAGCAGAAGTCACACTTAAAGCCAGAAAGTATTTCCGGTGAAAAACAGCAAGGACAAGGCCAGAAAATATAAAGACTGAAAAGGCACTAGCATGATCAGCAAAGAACATTTCTGAACACAAAGGGGAGATTCGGCATGTAGGGCAGGCAGGAGGGCAAGCAAGGAATTGTTCCAAGACCAGACTGTGGGCTGCTGCCAACAGACACCTGGTAGATCTCATCCGTCTGTTATCTCCAGTGACCGGCCCCACGCTTAGCAACTAGAGTCTGCATCCTGCCTGACTGCAGAAATATTCCAAAGGTGGGAGTGAAAACATCTAGCACCTGTAGTCAGTCCAATGCAAGCCATTAAGATGACCCGTCTCAACTCAAAAACAGGAAGACACTGAGTCTAGGAAGCAGAGGATACAACCCAAGGGCAGGGAGGGAAGACCCTGGATGACAGCTGAGGCCCAGTCTGTTTTGGAGAGAGGGCTGAGGGTCCAAGGAGGGAGATTTCCCAGGAAAAAAAATGGGGATTTGAGATTTGATGCTCCCCTTGGTAATTTGCAACAACTTAAAGAAGCAGAGCAGATAACACAAGGAGAAAAGACAATTATAAAATTGAAGAAAAACAAACATTTGACAAGAAAGGAAGTATAATAATAGCATATATAGGAAATGCTATTTACAATAATGTATTGCAATGGGCTTTCCTGGTGGCGCCGTGGTTAAGAATCTGCCTGCCAATGCAGGGAACACGGGTTCGAGCCCTGGTCTGGGAAGATTCCCACATGCCGTGGAGCAACTAAGCCCGTGCGCCACAACTACTGAACCTGTGCTCTAGAGCCCGTGAGCCACAACTACTGAGCCCACATGCCACAACTACTGAAGCCCGCGCGCCTAGAGCCCGTGCTCCACAACAAAAGAAGCTACCGCAATGAGGAAGGAGCCCACGCACCGCAATGAAGAGTAGCACCTGCTCGCCACAACTAGAGAAAGCCCGCATGCAGCAACAAAGACTCAATACAGCCATAAATAAATAAATAATTTATTGCATTAAGTATGTTGTAAAGAGGTCAAGGGAATGGGGCTAGAAATTAAGTATCAAGTATCATAGCAGGGTGCCCATAGTGTCTAAAATGAGTATACCAAGAAAAAGCAATTTTTTAAAAAAGTGTATTTTAAAATGAAAGCTCCAGAAGAAATGGCTAAGAGTGAAGTGTATTGAATCAGTTTAGGAAGATGAAAAATTTCTGGAGTGGATGGTGGTGATGGTTGCATAACACTGTGAATGTACTTAATACCACTGAACTTAAAAATGGTTAAAATGATAACTTTTATGTTATGTATATTTTATCACAATTTTTAAGAAAAGGGGGCTTCCCTGGTGGCGCAGTGGTTGAGACTCCGCCTGCCGATGCAGGGGACACGGGTTTGTACCCCGGTCCGGGAGGATCTCACATGCCGCGGAGCGTCTGGGCCCACGAGCCATGGCCGCTGGGCCTGCGCGTCTGGAGCCTGTGCTCCACAACGGGAGAGGCCACAACAGGGAGAAACCCGCGTACCGCAAAAAAAAAAAAAAAAAAAAAAAACAAAGATCCAAGCGAAAAAGTAGATTGGAAGTTACCAGGGGTGGGGAGGGGGCTGGTGGGGGGGGAGGAAAGGAATGGGGAAGGACTGTTTAACGGGTTGCAGGTTTTCTTTTGTGAGGATGAAAATCATGTTTTGGAAAATGACACTGGTGATGGTCGCACAACATTGTGAATGTAATTAATGCTACTGAATTAAAAACTTAAAAATGGTTAAAATTTTATGCCATATATCACAATAGAAAACTATGTATTGATTGGAAAGGAAACATGGGTGATACCAATGTCCTACATCTTGTTTTGGGTGATGGCATACATTTATCAAAGCTCGACGGATTTCACACTGAAGATCCATGCATTTTACTGTATGTACAATATAATTCAAGTTAATAAAAAGTTTAAAGTAGTTGCCTCTAGGGAACAGGGGGAATGGGTAGGGAGGCTGCCTTTTTCATTACAAACCTTCTGTATTACTTTTTAAAATACCACGTACGTTAATTATTTTGGAAAAACTTAAAAAGTAATTTAAAACTTCTCCATTCCAATTCCAGCCTCACCAAGCACCTTCCTTCGCCGGTGGCTCCAGTCCAGAAAATAAGCGAGCGGAACTGCCGGTGCAAGGAGTCGGGTCGGCTCCGCAGCTGTGCACCCAAGTGTAAACGTGTACCTGATCTCTACCTCGGCTGCCCCCAGGGTTTGGCCAGGTGTCTGCGTCTTCCCGCAGGAGCCAGAGACCGTCTTGCGGATCCCGCTGCCGGGAGGCGCAGAAGGAGACCATCGAGTTCAAAGTCCCGAGCTCCACAAACGCCGAGATCGTTGGTGGGTTCCAGATCCCGCCTACAGAGACTTCCGCGTGAAAACGCCCCGCCAGTCCCGCGTCGCGGCACAGCCGCTTCCTGCTGTCGCGGCCAATCACCGGCGTGCAACGCGGCCAGCGGGAGTGCTGGAAGCCGCGGGCACGTCCATCTTTCTTGATGGCAGGAAAGCTCCTCTCAGCTCCCACCCGTTAAAACTCACCTGCACGGCCATTGTATTTAAGGTCAAGTGGACAATGAAGAGCCAGACCAGCGCCATGTTTGATACGGTCAAGGGACGGCGCCCTTAAGAGCAGCCAGTGACAACTGAAGCCTGGATGTCGCCATATTTTCTGAAGGCACCTTACGGGTCCCTTAACCCGGGTGTCTGTGGCCAAGCTGCCAGGAAGTGACTAAACACCGAGGGTGTTTATTTGTCCCATCAGAATCCCGAATCCCAAACAGCCAACCCTGCTACTTCGGTTCCCTTCGGCTGAGTTCGGAGGCCAAGACTGGGCGGGGCCCCGGGCTCGGGAGCCCTTCCTGTGGACGACGAGAGCTGAGGCCAGGCGCGGGGAGCAGGCGGCCGCTGCTCTGGGCTGGAGGCCACATGGCGCCGCCCCCGGCCCCGCTCCTGGTGCTGAGACCGGGGGAGACCGGGCCTGGTTGCAAGAAGCCTGCGGCCATGAGCTTCGCAGATGTGGCCGTGTACTTCTCCCCGGAGGAGTGGGGGTGTCTGCGGCCCGCGCAGAGGGCCCTGTACCGGGACGTGATGCGGGAGACCTACGGCCACCTGGACGCGCTCGGTGAGGCTCCGGGTCAGAGTTCGCCTGCTCCTTCACTGGGGTTCACAGGGGAGATGACACGAGGACCCGGAGGATTGTGAGGCCTAATCCCGCACTATTCCACCAACGACACCAGCCACCTCCCATCCCCAGCGCTTAAGGTACCCTCTCGAGAGTCCTTCCATCTCGCATCCGCTTGCTTCAGGCAGGAGCACTGCAGACCCTGTCCAGGTTGATCCTAAATTCTGAGGAGGTGACCTCACCCTGACAGGGGGATGCCATCTTCCCAGGGCAGCCTCTCAGGCCAGCACTGTGATCCCTGTTCTCTCCCAGGATTCCCAGGCCCCAAACCAGCCCTCATCTCTTGGATGGAACAGGAGAGTGAGGCTTGGAGCCCCGCCGCCCAGGATCCTGAGGAGGGGGAAAGCCTGGGAGGAGCTCTGAGAGGTGAGGGATGGTCCCAAGTTTCCCCCAACCCCAGTATTCCAGGGTTTCCTGTCTAGCAGTGTTTTCTTTCAGATCGCCACCTCCAGCATCCCTAAAGGAATGAAAGAGTCAACAGATGTTGGATACGGGAGAAGGAAAAGAGGCAGACCTGATACAAATTTTTCAGAATTTGGGACAGTAGTCAAGTTGAGACCAGAGTAAGATAATCAGGAGCCCAAGTCTGAGACTCCCTCTGGGAGAAGCGCTGTTCATTCTCCCCTTTTCAGGAACAACTAAAATCCCCTAAGAATGAAAGCAGCTTCAGGTCTGCCTTTCACATTCTCAAACAAGGCAAAGCAGTAATTGGCCAGTAATTGACAACTTGGCTCTTCTCCTTTCACCATCCCTCAGCAGAGTGATCTTGAGCAAATATCTTTACTCCTCTGTAAATGTCTTAACCCTGCAAAAAAATGAGAAACCACGATAATAACAGCTACTGCTTATTTATTTATTTATTTTGGCTGCATTGGGTTTTAATTGCTGCGCGCAGGCTTCCTCTATTTGCAGCAAGCGGGGGCTACTTTTCCTTGCGGTGCGTGGGCTTCTCATCGCTGTGGCTTCTCTTGTTGCGGAGCAGGGGCTCTAGGGGTGCGGGCTTCAGTAGCTGGGGCACGTGGGCTCAGTAGTTGCAGCACATGGGCTCAGTAGTTGCGGCGTGCAGGCCCTAGAGCGCAGGCTTGGTAGTTGTAGCGCACAGGCTTAGTTGCTCCGGCATGTGGGATCTTCCCCGACCAGGGATGGAACCCGTGTCCCCTGCATTGGCAGGCGGATTCTTAACCACTGCGCCACCAGGGAAGTCCTGCTATTGCTTACTGAGCATTTACTAAGTACTTAAGATGCTTTTACTCATTTAATCCTCCCAACAAACTTGTGAACTAAAGAAACCATTATGATTCCCGTTTGACACATGAGGAAGCAAGGGCCAGATAAGTCACTCTTAAGAGATTTGACCCCTGTTTACCATCCTTTAGAGCCTGTGTGTTAATCACTGGGCAGTACTTTTCTGGCACTTCCTTAAGTAAAAGCATCCTATAACCTGAGACTATATAAGCGAATGTGTTTTAAAATGTAACTTGATTCCTGTTTCCTAGGAGATGCCCCAAACAAAAAGGAAGAGGAACCCAAGACAGGGCCAGGAGCCAAAGGATCCGAAAAGACTCCTAGGAAGGAGAGGCCTGAAGAGCTGGTTAAAAACAACCTTGACTCAACCATCAGCAAAACCTCGGCAAGAGCAGAGCCACCCAGCAAAGCTGCCTGTGACCAGAGCGCAGGTGCGCAGCCCCCGGCCCTGGTGCCCAGTGTAGATGCTCAGGCCAGCCAGCGGCGCCACGTGTGTGCAGACTGCGGCCGCCGCTTCACCTATCCCTCGCTGCTGGTCAGCCACCGGCGCATGCATTCGGGTGAGCGGCCCTTCCCCTGCCCCGAGTGTGGCATGCGCTTCAAGAGGAAGTTTGCCGTGGAAGCGCACCAGTGGATCCACCGCTCCTGCTCTGGGGGCCGGCGGGGCCGGAGGCCCGGAATCCGGGCTGTGCCTCGGGCCCCAGTCCGAGGTGACCGGGACCCGCCGGTGCTGTTCCGGCACTACCCGGACATCTTTAAAGAGTGCGGGTGAGCGGCTCCCGCTGGCTGGGCTTGAGCCTGACCTCAGCGCTAAGGACTAACTGGGCCCTGAGGGAGGCTCCTGAGTCAGGGATTTGGGACCCAAAATTCATCCCTTGGTTTTCCCTCAAGGATCCCTCTAGTTTCCAAACCTGTAAAAATAAAAGTGCCTGTAAAGATTCAGAGATTAAACTTGACACCTCCTCTCCCTAGTCTTTCTTAAAAAATGAAGAGAGTGACATGCTGGATTTTTCTCAAAGTGTTATCTCAGTAGCAGGTGCAGCCAAGATCATGTGCAAACACTGTCTCCAAAAAAAATCCCTGCTGCTTATCTGCAGCAGAGGTAAATGCTATGGGGGACTAAGGCCGAGGAGGAGGCCTCAGATGTAGGGCATGGTCTAGCCGCGGGTAACTGACACCAACGGGAGGCTCAGGCAGTGAAGTGGGTGGAAAGAATACAGAAACACCGGGTGCAGACCTAGTCTCTGCAACTTGCCCCCAAGGCGTAGCTGTTAAGTCACATGCTTTCCCTGAGCCTCAGCTCCTTCATCTGTAAAATGAGGATCAATAATATCTACCTTGGGCTTCCCTGGTGGCGCAGTGATTGAGAGTCTACCTGCCGATGCAGGGGACATGGGTTCGTGCCCCGGTCCGGGAAGATCCCACATGCCGCGGAGCGGCTGGGCCCGTGAGCCATGGCCGCTGAGCCTGCGCGTCCGGAGCCTGTGCTCCGCAACGGGAGAGGCCACAGCAGTGAGAGGCCCGCATACCGCAAAAAAAAAAATAATAATAATAATAATAATAATAATATCTACCTCAAAGGGTTAGTGTGAAGACTGAAATTGTAACAATATGTATGACACAGTAAATGTGCAATAAACATTTGTTGAAACACAATTGAAAATGATTGTCGATATTTTACACTTAAGACCATGAAAAGAAGTCTGCTAAGGAGGCAGGGATGGATAGCAACAGCTGTGTTTCACAGATGAGTAAACTGGGGATCAAAGTTTCACCTCTACAAAGCAGGAAAGCTGGAAACTGGCACTGTGCCCACACATATCTACCACTTCCTATGAGCAGTCAGATCTGGGCAGAACAGGGGTCAGGGGCTCAGGTGAGGGTGAAGTGAAGGAGCCAGTCTCACCTGTCTGGGGGAGTCTCAGCAGGAAAATGAGAGCCCCGCCAAGGCCAGAGACCTTTGGCAGTCAACATTCAGTGACCATATATTGAGTGGCTTCTGTTGGAGAGACTGCCGGGTGATAAGGGAATCCCAAGGTGAGGAAGGCTAATTTCCTTTATTCAGCAAACACCGTCTGAAGACTGGGGTTTTGTGCAGGGCGCCAGGGACACTGACTCAAGTCCAATGTTCAAAACAGTGAGTTGGGCTGTGATGGAGGAAGTCCAGAGGCACCACTTAACCCATCCTGGTTGGTGATACGCCAGGAAGTGTAGCTTGGAGAAGGAGGTGGTTGTGCTTCCCATAGCATTAAGAGGAATTGGTATGTAGTGAGATTTTTAGGCAGAGGAAGCAGCGAAGGAGCCTTATTTCCTAAAAAGGATAAAAGAGGGACACAGCATGGAGTAAAGGTTAAGGGCATGGGTTCTGGAGTCAGACTGTCTGGGTTCAGATCCTGACTCAATTGCTTTATAGCTCTGCAGTCGTGGGCAAATCACTTCTTGCTCCAAGTTACCTCTCTCTGCCTTAGTTTCTTCATCTATAAAACCTGGATAATAATAGCACCTACCTCATAAGACTGACATAACGATTAAATGAGATAACACAGAATGGTGCCTTGAATATTAGTGTTTAATAAACATTGGTTATTGTTATTATTCAAATACAACACAAAATAATATGTGAGGAGGACCAAGAGGAGACCGAGGAAGGTTTTCTGGAGGTGGTTCAAACTGGCCTTGAAGGATGAGAAAGATTTCAACCAGGATGGGCATGTATAGGGAATGGTTGGCAGTTCCACTTGATTGAAACATAAAGATTGAAAGTAAAGAATAATGGATGACAGATGCAGCCGGAGAAGTGGGACCAATCTGGGAGGACCAAGGATCCCAGCGGGGACCTTGGAGTTCACCCTGTAGGCACTGAGGAGCCATAGAAAATCCCCGAGCAGTAGCAAGGCTGTTTGACAGGTCCCATCAGATGTCTTTGCCGGGACTTCCCTGGTGGTCCAGTGGTTAAGAATCCATCTTGCAATGCAGGGGACGCCGGTTTGATCCCTGGCCAGGGAACTAAGATCCTGCATGCTGCGGGGCAGCTAAGCCCATGCACCACAACTAGAGAGCCTGTGCACCACAAGGAAGAGCCCACGTGCCGCAACTAAGACCCAATGAAGCCAATAAATAAATATTAAAGAAAAGAAATATTCTTAAAAAAAAAATGATGTCTTTGTCAAACAGTGTGGAGTGTGTTCCGTGGGAAGAGCCTGCACGTGAGAGATCTGTTTGGCGTTTGTCCCCAGGTAGAAGCAATCAGGAGTGGGACAAAGCTAGAAAGCAAGACTCTTTCTTGCAGTTGCTCTTGTTTGCTGACCTTGGAATTGGGAAGAAAGATACTCCTGAGAGGCTTCTGCCATAGAATTTGCATGGCTCAGTGAATGAACAACATGAGCTGTGAACAGGTAAGCAAGGGAGCCTGGGCGCTGGGCAAGGGGCAATCAGGAGTGGGAGGGTGTGAAGGTCCAGGGGTGGCCAGTACTGGAGGGGGCAAGTCAAAGAGGAGGGGGAGCTGGAGAGTGGAGGAGCCACCAAGGAGGGGGGAGCAGAACCAGGCACAGTGTGTCAAGCAGAGCTGTCTCAGCACAGGGCAAGTGCTGTCTGCTCTTTCTCGTTTATCCAGTTAACAAATATCTACAGGGACTTCCCTGGTGGCACAGTGGTTAAGAATCCGCCTGCCAATGCAGGGGACATGGGTTCCATCCCGGTTCAGGAAGATCCCACATGCCGTGGAGCAGCTAAGCCCGTGCGCCACAACTACTGAAGCCCGTGTGCCCTAGAGCCCGTGCACCACAGCTACTGAACCCACATGCTACAACTACTGAAGCCCGCGTGCCTAGAGCCCGTGCTCTGCGACGAAGAGTAGCCCCTGCTCGCCGCAACTAGAGAAAGCCTGCACCCAGCAACGAAGACCCAACGCAGCCAAAAAAAAAAAAAGAAAAGAAAAACCAACCAAACAAACAAAAAACAAAAAAAGATCTACTAAGCATTTACCATGTACTAGGTACTATTCTAAGTGCCAAGGTATAGCAAGGAAAACAGACATAGGCATCCTCTTGGACTTTACATTCGGGTAGGGTGGGGAGAGACAAGTGATAAGCCAGTACATAAATAAGACAAGGTACTGTAATTGCAAATAACAAGCACTACAAAGGAACTAAAACAGAGGACATACTGGAAGTGCCTGTTGCGGGGGCATACCTAGGCCGGGCCTTGGTGGGGGGACGCTTGAGATGAGATCCAAAGGATGAGAAGGAACCAAAGGGCCGCTCAGCGTGGCCAGAAAAAAAAAAAAAAAAAAAAAGGAGCCAAGGGGAACCGGGTAGGGTCACAGGATGTGGGAGTGGGGGAGGGCAGGGTTTCAGAGGCAGGGGTGGGTGGGTGCTGGGGTAGGGGGGGTGCTGGGGACAGGGTGTGGGAGAGAGGGGTTTCTAAACAGGGACCGGCAAGTGCCAAGTTCTGAGGTAGGGATGAGTTTGGGTGAGGTGCCGAAAATGAGTTTGAAGGCAGGGGAAGGAGTGTGGGGAGTGGGAAAGGGGCAGGTCACAGAGCTCTTGCTTGCCATGATGTGAAGTTTGGATCTGATTCTAAATATACTGGGAAGCCACTGTATCATTTCTGTTTTTGTTTTGTGGTAAAATATATGTAACAAAATTTACCATTTTAAATATTTTTAAGTGTTCAGTTTAGTGGCATTAACATTGCCCAACATTGCTCAACATTCACGATGTTGGGCAACCATCACCCCTATCCCTCTCCAGAACTTTTTCATCTTCCCAGCTGAAACTTTGTACCCCTTAAACAATAATGCTCTATTCCCCCTTCCCCCAGCCCCTGGCAACCACCATTCTACTTTCGGTCTTTGTGAATTTGACTACTTTAGGGATTAAACCACTAGGGGGTTTTAAGCAGAGTGTCAAGGGTCAAGGTAATCCGATTTGCATTTTAAAAACCCACTCTGGCTGCTCTGAGAGTGGACTGCAGGGGGGCGATAGAGTGGAAATGGAGAGTAGTTGAAGGGCTGGAGGTAAACACTGGAAGATGAAGGGACAGGGCCTGTCCAGGGCTGCACATGGGGGCTGGGTCATTGGAGGGGCACCAGGACCGTGATAAGGTTTCTGGCTGAGTGAGAAGGATGGAGGAGCAGTTCCTGGGGTGGACCTGGAGGTGATGACAGGGTGGACTGTGGCATCTTGGAGCTGGCGGGGAGCTCTTGGAGCTGTCTGGTCCAATGTTTGAAGCAGGGTTTGGGAAACCGAGGGTGGGAGGGGACTCTCTGGGGCACGGGGAAGAACACTTGTTCCTATCTCATGGGAATACTGTTCCACAGAATACACCCTGAGAAAGGCTGAGGCCCGGAGAGGGGAAGGGCCTGGCTTAGACCACACAGTTGAGTTAGTGGCAGAGGCAAGCCTGGAACCTAAAGCTCCCGATTTCTCAGCTGATGCTCTTGATCTTTTCACTACACCTGGCTGCAGTGCCGGATGGATGGGAAAGGCAAAGGGCTGGATGCCCAGAGACCAGGTAGGAGACCCCAGGCCTAAATCAGCAATGGCCTGAGCAAGAGCTGCTACAGGGTGCCTTTTGTGAAGCCTGTCACCCTCCTGCAGGGCAATTTCACATACCTCCCAAGCACTCGAATGATATATTTTTTTCCCCGTGACTTGACCCCTAAACACAATCCTTTTAATGCTTAGAGCACATCATTTTAATTTTTTCTCTTTACATTTAATACAACAGTATGGAATTGCATAGGTGACCAGAAGCAGTTCTTCTGACTTCCTACGTCCCTGCTTCTTGCCCTACCCCACATTACAACTGCATACCTGGCCTAAAATCCCACCTGTCTCTGGTTGCTGACATTGTGCCTTCAATAATTGGAGACATCATGGCATGGGTTCTGGAGTCAGAACCCTCACTAGCTGTGTGGCCTGGGGCAAGGTCATTCCTCTGCGCCTCAGCTTCC